TTTTTCCACAGAATCCGTCTTCTAGCTGTTGTTCAAGAATTCAGAACTGTAGCACTTTACTCTGTTTGTCTTCTAGTGCTTGTTTAGGAATTCTGGATAGACTCTTCATTTTTAGAGGTCCAGACTTTGTCTTCGAGTCATTTGTTCTTGAATCAGCATAATTATCTTCAATCTAGCCGTTGAAAATCAAGAGATTGATTTTTCCTTACCGACGAGTAGAATTTCTTCATTCAAGACTTAGATAATTTTTCTAAGTCTTTTCTCACTTGTCCGCTTTTTGAGAATTCCGATCTTCAATGAGTCTTCCGATTCTTAGCTGACAAATCCGGAGGAGTCATTCTCAGACTTCCGGGTGAGAAAGAGATCCGCGCTAGTCTTCCGATTTGGATGACTTAGCCTTCAGCAGGTTGTAGCGAGACATCCGGTTCTTATGTAGTCTTCCGGATCAGAGGATTTTTATTTGCTTGAGAAATCCTTACTTGTCTCTAATATTTCCGATCAAGATATCCAATTTCCATATCACTAAATTTTGATTAAGTCTTCAGGCATCAAAACGCTTAAAGAAATATCACAACTTTATTGGAAATCTCAAGAACTCGGTTTTAACAATATATCTAAAAAGAAAAATTACATTGAATATTGGGGGAGACCTAAAGTCCCTATTACATTCTAAATACATCATCATCAAAATCTATAATATTTTTCCCAACAATACCATAAGTAATAAGCGGTATCTAGCAACACATTATTACCCCCCAGATTATAAGTTTAGACGTTTGCTCCGTCAAAACCTTTCTACGACTAAGAATTTGTATAACGTAGATCCTTTTGTCCCAATGTCTTAACTTAGTACAGGGGATATAAAATATCCAACTTGTAGCCATTAAGTTATTTACTGATTAACAAGTGTGACTGATGAGGACAGATGTCTAAACTCATCTCAGGATGGCCATGCATTTCCTCAGTCATACTTATTAGTGGGCCCCTACAAGACATTATTCTGCTTAAGAAGCAGTGACAAATTCTTTCTACGTAATCTACGTCTTTGAATTTGTGCAGCGGCATGCCCAATACAAAGCCTGTGTACCATCCTTATTTCATACGGCTTAGGACAATGAATCAAAGCATGCGGGTTGACACATTCGAAGAACGTAATACTTCTAGTCTGAGGATCGTTATACTAATAGTCGCATTAAGGACACTTAGAGCATAGACTAAAAGTCTAGGCAATGCCCTTAAGGTGGGTCAGGTGTCGCATCCTATTATTAACGATAATATCTGCCCGAGAGTAGATGCGAACACTCGGTCATTGACCAAGAGACTAGGTCAAACATCTAACTCTCACTAGTCTCACGCGCACTAACGATATCTGTTGGGAAAAATATTATAGATTTTGATGATGATGTATTTAGATTGTAATAGGGACTTTAGGTCTCCCCCAATATTCAATGTAATTTTTCTTTTAGAAATATTGTTAAAACCGAGTTCTTGAGATTTCCAATAAAATTGTGATATTTCTTTAAGTGGTTTGATGCTTGAAGACTTAATCAAATTCAGTGATATGGAAATTGGATATCTTGATTGGAAATGTCAGAGACAAGTAAGGATTTCTCAAAGTAGTTGAAAATCCACTAATCTGGAAGACTACATGATAACCGGATGTCTCGCTACAACCCGCTGAAGGCTAAGTCACTCAAAACGGAAGACTAGCGCGGATCTCTTTCTCACCCGGAAGTCTGTGAATGACTCTTCTGGATTTGTCAGCAAAGAACCGGATGCCTCAGAAAGACCGGAACTCTCAGAAGCGGACAAGTGAGAAAAGACTTAGAAAATTATCTAAGTCTTGAATGAAGAAAATTCTACCCGTTGGTAAGGAAAAATCAATCTTTTGATTTTCAACAGCTAGATTGAAAATAATTGAGCTGATTCAAGAACAAATGACTTGAAGACAAAGTCTGGACCTCTCGAATTAAAGAGCCCGTCCAGAATTCCTAAACAAGCACTAGAAGACAAACTGAGTAAAGAGCTACAGTCCACAATTCTTGAACAACAGCTAGAAGACGGATTCTGTGGAAAAAAGAATCCCTCCTCAAACAATTGGGTATCTCCAAACACCCATTCTGATGAGGAATCTTCAATCACAATCTTCATTCAAAATTGAAGCCAGCAAATGCAACGGATAGTCTATTTTGATTCAACGGATAGATTATCCAATCCAGCTATAAATAGAAACCTTGGAGGACTGGAGAAAGTAGAGCACAACGACGACATAGAAAAGCAATCTCTAACAACAAAGCTATCTCATTTAGCCTAAAAAGCTTGATACAGAGAGAATTCTAAACTCCTTATCCAGAAGCAAACTTCTCCCCCTTCCAAAGAGCTATAGTGTAAACACTTGAAGGTTTCCTTGGCTCTAGTACCACACCACGTTGAAGGATATAACTTTTAAACAAACTTCTTGATTAAAAGGGGGTACATCAACTTTCTTACAAGTTGATATTGCAAGTCCTATTGTTCGGATCTTGCAGTTGCTGAAGAAGCGTGACCTTCGAAGGAACAACAAAGCCAGCACGAGTGCAGTAGCAACTTTGACCTTGCAAAGATATACCGTGCAGAAATTCACACAAGTGTAATTGTTGGTTCATTATTCAACAACCAACTACATAGTGGATTTTGAGGACGTAGAAGGATTACCCCACCTTCGAACCTCGTTAAAGTTTGCGTGTCTCTCTCTTTTATTTTTACTTTTACTTGCAATCATATTAACTGTGAAAACTAACCCATCCATATTGATTACTGCTCACTTTATCCACCAAATTCTGCACACAATCTAAAGTTCACAAGAACTCTAGATTAACACTCATTTTCACGTTTTCAAAAGAAACGAAAAAGTTTTTAAATTTGTAACAAAGTCTATTCACCCCCCCTCTAGACTTTGTATCTCACCACTTTGAGACCACCAATATCCCACTCTCGTTAATGCTTCGACTATAGACCTTTTAGAATTATACTAAGTGACAAGATGTCAGTTTTAACATCAGAAGGCTCATTCTGATAAACATCTTATAATATAATTCTAG